GCTTGATGCTTACATTATCGTGACAATGCTATCAGCGAAATCGAGCAGCACTTGTATCAGGTAGTTCAAGTAAAACATGTAAACTAGTTCACTAATGGAAAACATCGCAGACATGATCAATTCTTCGAAATCGTGCGTCAAGCATATCGCTTGAGATATCTGAAAGCTTAAGCGTGTTTAATTAAAGATTTAAGGGGTGACTCCCAATGTTTTGTTTATTTTCTATCAGCGATCAAGTCTTTCTAGCTTACTGGTTAACAATGAAAATGAGCCACTTACGCGATAGAAATTAATTGCTAAGGAGATGATGGCACATAGAAGGAGAAAGCAATACGAGACTTCAAACCTATCTTTCAAATCTTGGGCAAACCTTTACGAACAAATAATTTTAGATAATTCACTATCACAGCTCGTTGGATTTATATTACGTTTTATAGACCATACACTAGAGGTAAAAAAATAGTTCATCGTTCTATCTTGGAAAACTGAACATAGCCTTAAAGTTTCATTGGAAATAATTAATATTCTAAAACATTTGTTTCTGAACTCAATGGTTTAAAATGTAATCGTGTGGAAAGATTAAATGGTGGTGTGCTTCGTGTGTAAAAGCAAATATGTAATTTACACGTAAATGTGATATCATCGAGCAAATACTGACTTTGTCGCCTTCCTATGCGCAATTACAGCGCTTATTAAAGACCTTTTACTGTTAAAATTGACCAGCTCCTGAGAATCGCTCTGCTCAACAAATCCCTTGGATACCGCTTCTTCGATATAGTAACTGTAAATTACAGCAAGAAGTTCATTTAGATATGCACTGCAATTTGAGTATTTTTTTAGTCGATTGAGGTGACTGAGTTCTTCTCATGATTGCAATTTACAGTATACGGGGTGTTCCAGAATTAGTGGAAGAACTGGAAATGGGGAGTATCTGAGACGATTCTGAACAACAATTTACGTTGGAAAAATGTCGGATGGTGCTTCGTTTGAGAAAACCTTCCTTGATCAGC